CGCTCGCGTCAAGAAGCTTTCGGACAGACTTCTCAAGGGCCTTCTCGCAATGGAGCACACCACTCAAAATGGCGACCCAAACCATTTCTATCCAGGTTGTGTAAACGTTTCTTTCGCTTATGTCGAGGGAGAATCTCTTTTGATGGCACTTAAGGATATTGCTCTATCCTCAGGAAGTGCTTGTACATCTGCCTCCCTCGAACCCAGTTACGTCCTTCGGGCACTCGGTAGCAGTGATGAAAGTGCACACAGCAGTATCAGATTTGGTATTGGACGTTTCACAACCGAGTCTGAAATTGATTACGTCTTGAAAGCAGTTGAAAACCGAGTCACATTCTTACGAGAGTTGAGTCCACTTTGGGAGCTCGTACAGGAAGGTATTGCTTTGGACAGTATTGAGTGGAGTCAGCATTAAATTTTTTGCTAAGAATCAAATGAAACTCGGCGGGGTATTGGCGTTTTGTGATTTCACTTCAGCGGGATGGAGGTTCTTTTAGGTGTAACATAGCGGATGATTAGGTGAAAATGGTACCCTCAATGTATACTGATTAAATGATAATGAATGCAACAATAGCATATCGAATTTAAGTACATCTCACCTTTGAGTTAGATGGGTTTGAAGATTACTAATGCCTTCTTGTCGTCTTGTAAGGTCTTGTGAAATATATAATAATGACTGTATGTATGTATGTCTTACGACGGTGCAAGACACACGTCCGAGTCAACAAGTGCGTCGTGCTGACACACAACACAGGCCTCTTCCGAAGGAAGGGCAAAAGGGCGGATTTCTTCAAACTCCTTATACTTCGGAAGAGGCATGATGATCACCCACCATTCCCCTCCCTAGCCCTAGATTGTTCTAACATTGTTCTAACCGACACGTCAACCAAGCTCGCCAAGTGAATGCCCAACTTGATCCACATCTCACAGCTTAACCCCACTCACTACGCAGTGAATGAATCCCCAACTTTCAGTCTGACTTTTCGGGGTCTCTCTCCCCACTTGTTCTGCAAAATGTTGAATGCTCGCTCACACACACACCCTCTATCTCGTGCGATGACCAATCTTGGAGCTTGTATGGAGGGAAAGGGAGGAGAGCAAGACAGGGCAAAGAAACAAAAAGTTCCGGGTTAACTGATTGGGCCTAATCCGGGATCGAACCGGAGACCTCTTACATTTTGAATTTGTAAACCCAAAGCAAGAATTCTACCACTGAACTATCAGGCCATGAAGAGATGAGTGTCTCTTTTGATGGAGGTGGGGAGATTGTTTAAATATATACAGAAGAAATCATTAGACCGAATGGAGAACAGGGTACGTGGGGCTCGATGCAACCGAAATAAGAGGTATGTAGAAGTTGAGTATTATTCAAAAGGACTTTAATAATTCGAATCTCTTTTTGATATTGGATCAAATAGTAAGAGTTTTGATTGTTAATATACAGAAGACTCAAATTTTCATTTGATCTCCTTAGAGTTTAGTATTGGACTTGAAACGGATTTATAATTCAATTAAGAGTTCTTTGAAAGGGGACTCAATTCACGTCTCTTATTTTGGGTGGCTCTACATAGGCAGGAGAAAAAGCAGGCCGGAATCGATCACTAGTAAAGCCCTTCACTAATCCAAATGTTCCATTCCAATTGAAAGAATTAACTGTTTAAATAATCCTAGCGATTGGAAATTACTCAAGGATGTATTTGGTACTGGTAACATTTACAATTTTATTATCGATTGATTTATTGTAGAATTTATTGGATTGATTGATTTTGACCTCTTTTTCTCTCACGTAGAGATAGGGTCGTTGAATGAGTGGATGGAAGTAGTTTGTCTAATTGATTATTGTGCGGTAGCTAGGTATGTATAGATATTATATGGATTGGATTAGATAGGGTAGAAAAACTCAAGATTTATATTCAAAATCGTAAGCTTAATTCCTTGTCTCGTGCGTGCATACACACATAGTAGATAGTCTCAACAGGATCTCTATCTAATTGTCTCTTCTGGATTTGTATATTGTTATTGTTATTTTGATTGATATTCCAAAAACCCCTCCCTTTTGAGCTCTCTTCAGCAATATCATAGGGGTTAGATGGGGGATTCGATAATTCTTAGAAGTAGGTAAAGGGGATGGTGAATATTAATGGAGGAGGAGTATATCTATATAGGTAGGTATGTATGTGTGTACATAGAGAAGAAAATGGGTGGAAGCGTAGAGCTAAGGTTTATGGTTCTGTGATACGTAGGTAGGTCGGTAAGTAGGTAGATGGATGGAGTAGAATGGGGGTGTATACTCTGATAGAGCAGATGTGAAATATGTTTGGTAATTGTTTATTTTTGTTCACTTGGGTTTCGTAGGTAGTATATCATGCTGCAGAATGTGAACATCTATTAGCAGCTTCATAAATAAATTAGCGAAGCTCTGTCTCGAAAGCCGACGTATAGGGGGCGCGACAGCGAAAGTTTGCAATATGATAAAAGGGAGCAGCAGGACTGTGAATGTTTCAATTTGTTAATTTTCAGATTTTGACAATTAGCTGTTCGGTTTTCTACACTTTTGGAAGCCCCCTTCAAATTTTACATATGTCAATTTCCATCAAGTCAAAAATTCTACCAACGTTCCCAACATATCCTTCATCAATTTCTCCTCGCCATCTCCCTCCTCATCTCCTCCCACCAGGGTATCCAATTGCTCTTGTATCGTCTCCTTCAGTAGATCCAACCCCTCATCTCTCTCCGCCAATAGTTCCCGAATCTTTTTTTCCGCTCCTGCATCCTCCGCCACTAGCCATGCCAAAATAACATCAACAGTCTGCAAACAAAACAATCCCGCGTCCATCCTCCTCGACAACCATTCGTCCGCCCTCTCTTCTCTTTCTTCCGCGCTAAGTCTCGTTTGTTCTTTACGGATTTCCGTATCTACAGCCGATACACGTGCTGCATAGTCTCGACGAAGTTTCACAAGCTTACCTATCTTTTCATAGTCTTTCTCTACGAACTTTGCAAGCGTACGAATCCGACCGGCTTGATTGGCAGGCAGTAGACGCAGTAGACTTGAGAATATCCCTAGTAAATGTTCGATGGTTTGACTGTCGATTTTCTTCATGAACATTCCAAATACTACTTTGAGACCCGCCGCCTCTACCAGCTTTTCACAAACTTCTGCGCCAGATTGTCCTCCCAATGCATGGTCTAATAGTCTAAGTGCGCGTGATTTACTCATTTTTCCCTCTTTGACCATAATCAAACAAAGTTCGACACCTTCTGCTTCAACAAACTTTTGTTTCCCTTCTGGTTCATCAACACAGCAGGTTAAGGAGTCGAATACGTTTTCCACGAATTCTTCTTCCTCGGTTCCTTTGATAGGATCGCGTTTTCTGTAGGCTGCCAATATTTGAAGTAGGAGATCGACACCGTCTAATTCGCAAAGCTTCCGTCGATTTAGTGAAGATGATTGGAGTAGAATTGCCATGACTTCTGCTGCGTATTGTTTGTTCTGGCTCACTGGCGACTCTTTTTTCGGTATTCGATTTAGTAACCAATTCAGTATGTTTGTTTCCTGGCCAATCTTTTCCGCAAGCGTTATTCTCGATGCCAAATTTTCCAACACGGACAATGCATGGTATACACCACTCCTATCCGACTCATTGTTCTCATTGAACCGCGCAAAATTCGAAACCAACAGATCTAATAAATCTGCCTCAATCATAGCATCCACAATTTGATTCCATTGTTCTTGTTCGGCCTCCACGTCTTCGTCCGTAAGTTCGCTGATAATCTCCACGGCATCAATCGCAATATCTGTATTTTCGTGCGCCAGTAACCCAACCAAGCTTCCAACGCAACCTAGCTTCGCAAATTCTCCATATAATTCAGGGTGTTCTGATAAAATACTTAGAGCTTTGATGTCTGCATCTAGTTCCGCTTCGCTCCCCATAAACTTATGCGGATCGCTTTCAAACTTAGCTCTCAATTCCGCATTCTTCGTGATCTTCTTCTCAAAGTTCAGGGCCATCTTCCGTAACCACGCCAAATCGATTTTCTCAGGAACAATCTCTGCGCTTTCTTGTCCATCCATGTAATCTAATATTTCAGATTCATCTTTTGTGATACCACCACCGAAAAATCGACCCTCTTCATCGTCCGGAACATCTGGTCCATAGTCTTCTTCATCGTCCTCAGGTGGAGCGGAAGGACCAGCTTCTATATCATCATCCTCTTCTACTGCCGGTTGTTTACCATTGCTTTTCGCATGGCCGTTCGCGGATAATTTCGCGGATTTGTATATTTCATCTAATGGATTGCTTAGCAATGGGTTGGGGCACGCAAGAGGAGGGTTGCTGACTAGGATCTCGAGTTGGTTCTAATTTGCGCTTATGGCTGGGTAAAGCTGGCTTCTACAGAATGTTAGACGGGAAAACATGGGCCTAGAACACAATATGCGCACCTTGAACAAGTCATCAATACTTGACATTGTAGCGGATGAGCTCAGCTCGAGGCTGCACGTTTGTATGTGTTTGTCACTGCGATTGTGAAGTGATACTGTAAGGATCGTGGGCGTGTGTAAGACACGGTTTTCAAAGAATTGGGCGTAATGAGATTCAATGGAGTAATAATTGTTGAATTTGCATTGAATTATGGTTTGTTTTTTCACTTGAGAAATGATAACTTTTGGAGCTCCTTGAGCTTGACCTAGGCCTTGCTTAGTCATTGCTTTCTCCGTAAGGCTGACTTCATCGTCATCCTTTTGACTTTGACACCGATTCTTGTATACGTAGTGACCTTTGTTGCATTTTGACATTATTATTCACTGTGGGGAATATTTCTTCTAAATCAGGACGAATACGGGTGATAAATAATTTCATGTTCAATCTTGAATCTTTACCACTGAAAAATACCCAGCTTCGATCCGAAATTCCTGAATTGGCCACACAGTAATACAATTGCCTTTTAATCTCTAACTGGTTTAAGAAACTTGGATTCGCCCAATAAGTTAAATAAACATGGATCTTTCAGAATCTGGAGGATTCCTTCCAGATGCTCTTCCCTCCCCCTCCCCAAGCACTACTTCGGTCAGCTCCACCTCTTCCAATTTACCACAGCCACGTGCGAAACCTCTTCGTGCTGGATCAGGAAAGGAACAAGCTGCAAGGCGCTATGTTGAAAATAGACTACTCCACGTCTCGAGGCGATACACTAAAAAATTCGAGGAACATGAAGAAGGAGATTCGGTAGTCGGCTATGTAAGTATGAAGGAGGTAGCCAAGGACCTTTCCGAGATAATAGATGTGTTGTGGCTCTCAAGTACACGTACGTACCTTCACTTATGTATGATTCTCGGAATCTTAGACTGACTGACTGGAATAGCGAATCTACAGATTCCGTACTTGCTAAATGTGGCTCTGGTAATGACTTCATATCCAACTAAATTCCCTCCAGCACCGGTTGCAACCTTTGCTGTTCTGAGAAAACTGGATCATGCATTTGCTAGCTTACTGAGAGGAGAAGACTCGATTACTGGAGAGACCTTACCAGGGTTTCTAGCGGGCAGGAGAGCGGGGATGAGCCAGACTGATATGGTTAGATGCAGAAGTATAGTCGAAGACACCAGAGTAATGATTGTAGACGTCATGAGTAAGGAAGTTGAACCCGAACCCGAACCTGAGAGTGGCGTCGAAGACGATGGTGACAACGGAGCTGACGGTATGAATATGGAGGAGGAGGACGACTCGGAATACGACAATGATGAGCTTGCCATGGACATTGCCAGAGTCTATGAGGCAACAATTATGGAGCTTGGCGAAAGGCTAGAAAGTGGTCCTAACATTGGAATTGGGCACAACGATTCATGAAGGGAACAAATCTTACAGTCACAAAAGGTTATTGGGGCAAACTTGGATGGATTCTACTGAGCCAAATTAGCTGAACTATCGAAACGTGAGGAGTTGCCCCGAATCGGCGATACTTTTCGTCGGCAAGGGTTCCGGTGGAATGAAGCATGCTTCTCCTATATTTGTGGCCACGGAGTGAGAAGCCGAAGGAGGAAGTATGTAGCTGGCCGTGTGGACTACTATGAAGACTCCAATACTCGCGAGAATGTAGGAGAAGCCTGATTAATGCCACGCATCTTAATAGTTTGGGGAGGGAATTATGGGGATAAAGCAAAGGTAGCCTATCGAGGAAGAAGCCATGATTGCGGTATTAATGGATCTCAGAAATGGAGAACTGAGAGAAATCATCAATCCATGCGGCCTCAGGGTCCCGAACAACAATGTCAAGCTCCTATATTCAGGAGCCTACACTTTATTTATAGCATCAATCGACTCCATTTGAATCCATCCTATTAGTGCCATTCCATGTGTATCTTGCCCCCAAGCTCACCTACTTACATCACTGCGTGTGCCGATAGCTCATTTGTGATATATATTCAAGGTGAAAGTCCTATATCGACTACCACAATCCGGAGAGAAGTTCTCAAATGTTCTCACACTCTTTTATCTTTCGTGCTTGTTGATTGGCATGATCATAAGTCGCCTTAGTGAACACCATCAAAAGCCGGACCTTACAAAAATAAGGCTTTTTGTCGCAAGTCTGGAAACTCCACCAAATTAATTGCGGAAGTTAGTGGATTTGACTTTGAGAAACACCACTCGTAAACAGCCAGTCTTACTATTTCCCCTAATTCAAGAATCCAGGCTAAGCTACCATTCGAAAAGACATGTTAGGAGAGAAACGGATAGCTCTGCTTGTAATGACTGAGGTTTCCATTTCGAAGTAATATCGTAGATGTCTAGTCGTATCGTATTTCTTTTTCACTTTCCACATTGAGTTTTCCGAACCCAAAGAATCTCAATTCCCTCTCCCAACTCTCCGTACCACGGCCCTTCCTGTTCACTTCTTTCCGCTACTTCAAGCCCCACGCTCTCCATTTGCCACTGTTTCTTTTTACACATCTCTACAAACATTGCATACGTCCCGGCGTTACGTACCGTACTTGAAATTAACACTTCCACCTGTGGGTACAGATCAAAGAGGTCTTCAAGTGTTGCAATGAAAGATGGGATTACAGCGGGTGCGTAAATTACATCTGCTGCAAGAATGAGATCCAATGGGGTCTGGTTTGATCCGTCGGTTGGCGTTGGGTTTGATGGTGGGCATTTCGATGATAGGAACTCAGGGAATGTCTCAAACTCTCCAGTTGGAAGCATGTGACCCCAGGTAAGTTCGCATGTGCTTGCTTTGGGGGTCGTATTTTGAGACGGCGTGGGAGTAATGACATCTGTTAGATTGTTGAGAAACAGGCTTGTGTTCATCAGAGTCAATGTTTCAGGGCTTCCATCGGTAGCCAGAACGTGCTTTGCGGAGAGATACTTGGCGCACAGGATTGAAATAAAACCGGTGCCACAGCCAAGCTCCAATACCGTTTTATTGGAGATAAGATAAGGATTGAGAGAGATGTAAGTTGAGAGGTGAAGAGCGGCTTCCCATGTCCGAAGGCCTGTGGTTCCGGAACCAGATAAGAGGGATGCGGATTCGAGGATAGTTATTGTTGGAGTTTGCGAAGCTAGTGAGGCAGACGTTGAAGAAATAGGAGGAAGAGAGGAGAGGGTATAGGTCACATAAGATTGCTGCTGAGCAGCTGTAGCTTCTGAAGGAATAGGAGTGGAGAGGAGAATGGAAAGTTGGCTCATGAGATTATCTGATATTCCCTGGAGAAAAGAAAGACATTGTCAGAAAATTGGGGAAAAGAAACGACATGAGCTTAGAGAGATTTATGGCATGTATTCTCGTTGATACACTTTACTAGATATTTGTGGAACCAAAAAAAAAGAAAAAATTGCATCTTGTGCATACCTACTTGTTCTTCCCAATCGTGAATACTGTTCTCGATTCTTCTAGTGAGTTCTTTCAGAGTTTTCAATTGATATCTCTGAGGTGGAGGGTACTCCAAGACATGTTCCTCAAATAGTCTTGAGTAGATAGCTTCCTGGAAGGCATCATCTCGAAGATGTTCTTCATCTGGGTATTCGAGTTTTGGTAAAAGTTGGAGATATTGACGACAAAACCTGTCCAATTGATGGTCCTTGGAGAGGATAGGCATTTCTGGTTTCTGTCTCTTTGAATATGACTTTGAATTTGAATTTGGTTTTAATTCCACAACTTAATGAAATACTGTAGCCAAAGACAATCACTGGATCATTTGAGGATGAATGAATTTTTAATAATGAATGACCTTGAGATGTTCATGGACAATCGGAGTAGATTGTCCGGCCATAATATTAAGGCATCAACCTAGGGTTTCTGACCTTTCGGATCCACTGCTTCGCACATTTTCACCGCTTACTAATCAATTTGGCTAGTGTTAGCGCAATTTGACTTACCGAATCTGAGAGCCACTCGAACTTTTTTGCAATCCTCCTACGACAGCGACATCCATCGACAATCTATATCACGACAACTGTCTCGAAACATCGTAGACAGGCTGATCGACTTAGATAATCGCAAAAATGGCCGACAATAACGCCCCAGTTACGCTGCGAACCCGCAAATTCATTCGCAACCCTCTCCTCGGCCGAAAGCAAATGGTCGTGTAAGTCAACACCATTCTTATCGAATCCGCCATCTATTTCAAACAATTACAGTATTGAAGGAACACTATTCAAGTGCCTTTGGAGTACAATGAGGGATACGGATATCTATGAATTGGAAGGCTGATGACGGATTTTTTTAAAATATAGTGACATCCTCCACCCAAACCGTGCCAACATCTCCAAGGATGAGCTCAGAGGCAAACTCGCCGAACTCTACAAGGCTAGCCAAGACCAAGTCAACGTCTTCGGTCTCCGTACCCAATTCGGTGGTGGAAAGACAACCGGTTTCGCCCTCGTCTACGACTCCCCAGAGGCAATGAAGAAATTCGAACCCCACTACAGATTAGTCCGCGTTGGATTTGCTACCAAGATCGAGAAGGCCAGCAGACAACAACGTATGTTACAGTCCTTGTCTTGGTTTGCGAAATTGATCGAGTGGAAGTGAATTTCACCTACGAATTGATACTGACATGTGCTGGAATTTAGGCAAGCAACGCAAGAACAGACAAAAGACACTCAGAGGTACTGCGAAGGTCAAGGGTGCCAAGAAGAAGAAGGAGTAGAGCACTCGCTTCATCTTAGGGTGGGAAATGGTTGGTGTTGTTGGACCTGGGGATTGGCTATGTGCTTTGTACGCATCTGCATCGATCCTCCAACGTATCATGCTTTGGTGTAATTAGGGAACGAAAATAGAGGCATGATGGCATGAAACCTCTAATCGGTCTCTATTAGGTCCACACTACAAACTTCAATCACGGTGTTTTGCTCGTTCATTCGAAATCTGGTTTATGTGCAGCATGGTCATGGGTGACACAAAATGGAAATATGCGTTTGCAACCTGGAGGTTGCTATTCCTCAAATTTTACTTTTTCTGACATGGCTCTCTCCCACCTCCCATGTCACCATTGCATTATGGATACAAATAATCATCTGCGAAGATGTCTTTGACCGTTTCTGCAAGCGCTTTTTGACATGTCATTTTATGCAATTTACCTTCTGTCAACAAAGTTTGCCTCGTGCGCCACTACAAACTTTATATTGACATTTCAAGCTGAACTGCCCCAATTTCCCCTCTTTTGATGTTACAAACCACATTGCGTCCTGCGAGCAAAACTATGTTAGGTAGGTATCGTTCCGTGCTTCGTTTCGGTCCGTACCTTCTTCAATCGCTGTTTGAATCTCGGTTTCTGTACATGTTCATCTGCATTGATTGTGGAGATGACGGACGTCTCTCTGTTATACAAGAAACGGTACCTTCAGCTAGCTTGTGGTTCTTTGCGTTTCACATACTTGCTGGAGATGAGATAATGGTATATCTCACATGCTGGGCGAACACAGTTGACCTATGTGACAATGAAAGAATGAGGTTATCAATACGAACGAGCACAAAAAGAACGTTCTGGATCCGAGGCTACAAAATTTCCTATCTCATGGACTTGAGGCTCGGCTCGTGGGCTTCCCGAATTGCTCCTCGGGGAGGAGATTTCGCAAGCCTGGCCTCGTTTACCACGAGGTCCAGACATGTTACAGACGTGAGATAGCGCTTGAGCATAAGTCGAAGAGTAGAAATCTAAGCTTGAAGCTTGATATATTATATGTGACTCTCCTATTGATATTCGAAGTGCATCCAAACATCAAGTATGACACTACCTCACATCGACTTTCAACAACATATCGATTGTGATTAGCTCATTAGTCAGTAGATAACAGTGAATGTGATTGAGAGATTGGCCACTGCGCAAGGCAAAACCATCACCATGTTGGCACCATGTACTGTACAATGACATGAAGTTCATCCTAAGTATCTGCTGTGCTTCGCTAGTACTGAGAAACCCCAAAAATGAGACATCAATTGTACAAGTAGATGCAGTGCTCATCCGGTCTCCAACGTTCAGCTTTCCCTACCACGACCCTGATTTCTCCCCCAGAAACAGAGAAATGTAAGGAGCCAGGCACAACGCTTTATTCTTCACCGTATTCCAAATCATTAGGGTGGGTGGGGTCTATTTCCTGCCGTGTAACATTTGTGATACCTTTTGTGTAACATAAAATTCTACTCAAATGCACTTTTTGTGGCACGAGGTCGCTTACTCCTCGCAGATTGCATCTTTGAGATTCCCAATGCCGTGACAAGGTCAGTTCATCTGTGATTGGCCCAGGAAGGATATGTGAGTTGCACCCGGAAATCTTGCTTTTGCTCTATCAAAACGAAAAATGCAAAAGTCTGGTATGGGTACCATTGCCAAGGGCATAGGATCGTCTCGTTTCTTTCTGCTTTGGCATTTGGGGAGGCTCCCTGCATCATGGCATAAGCAGGGAAAATATTTTGGGTCGACATTGGTGATTGTGACCAGGAAAACACAGTCAGAAAGATATTCAAATTGATCAAGTTGGTCAATGTTTAGCCCAGACTAGTCGAAGATTGGTCTCATCTGGTCGAAATTTCGGCCAAAGTTGGAAGGATATATGGTATTAGAATGATGATTATAATTATTATTAAGTCTGACTGCTATCAGTGTGTTGCTGTGACTATCCGATAGTACCCAGTACTGTATGGAGTATCCAACACCCAAAGAAGTGCATACATTGCGCGTTAACAATCAAGTAGTACTTGAAAAACTTGAACATTGAACGTATAGATACCAGTATTGTACGACAAACACTCTGGTCACCATCAACCACACCACTGTAAACCCGAAACTTCTGAATGTCAAACAACATTTGCAAGTGAGCTTGAGGTAAAGACAATGCCCACATTCTCTCTCATCTGCCATAAATCTTTTACCGCATTTTGTTGTCTCCATGAACGTATTTGTAGATCGAAAAGAGGAACATAGAACATATGGAAGTAACAGGGAAACATTGACAAACTACTTCTCCCCCATTTTTGCTCACGTTTTGCGTCTTCTTGTCTTGTCTCGCCCATTCGCCTCAAATTAAAAATCAGAACCAAAGAAAGTGTTTTTAAATAATGACAAAATAAAAACAATATAGCCACACATATTTTTACTGCCTACTAATCTCCATTTCTCCGCTTCCCCTTCGAAGTGAATACTCCCCCGCCGAGATATCCCCAACACACTTGCCCCAAACCTAAAAGAATGTGTACTCCATTTCCAGCTCAATGTTCGCACGAGCCCATCCGACCCAACCCCCAACCGTACCAGCGATAGTACTCAGATATTCATCTATTGCCCCCATTATCACTCATTCGCCATTTCCCGTCCATCCCCCCATAATCCTTTAGCCTGTAACACTGAGCACTTGTTGACGGTGATTTATTCCCCCTTTCTTCCAACACGTATTACTTTCCTTAACCGAATTGCCCATGCCATCGTAGTTTTTTCTCCTTGTCCGATACAAGTCTCATCTCAAAAAAAACCCCCATATTCTGTGGATATCTGTGACTGACTCGAAAAGAGCTCTGAAAGCAAAAAGAATGACGCAATTGAATCAAGCCGCTCCTAGTGAGCGACCATATATGAACACATTGCACACAATGAACAGTCAATAGAATAGAGACGAGAACGCCTTTCTTCTTTCATCTCCCACCCATTTAAACCCTATCCCCCTTTTTAAAGGTATCTTTTGTCTTTCCCCCATTTCGCCATGTCCATACCAAACAGATGAATGTGACCAATGAATAAATACTCGCACGATTTTAACAAAAAGAAGAATAGAAATGAATTAACAAAAACAAAACAAACTAGTTGAGGTGTCAAGCCCTAAGTCGTCGAAATTTTATGTCTTCGAGGTTCGATATCGTCTCTCTAAGCATACTAGGTGATACTCTGGCTGTGCTTTGAACAGATATTTCACTGATCCGGGCTTCGAGCAAAAACCTAAGTTATCTCGATGAAAGACTTGAGACATATTCTCTCGAGGGCACTGGAAGACCATCATGGGAGACTGGAGGCATCTGAGGAGGTAGTTGCAATAGCCCGTGATTCTGCATTTGAGTGGGAATGTTTGGGGTTGGATAATGACTGGATGTGTGTGGAATATACGTCTGTCCGTTTGCTAATTGACTACTTCCGCTGCCACTAGATTTTCTGTCATTAGCCGGCCATGTATTTTCAGTGGTGTTAGTCTGACTATTTTGACGACTTTTGCTAGGTTCGCTTCCACTGCTTGTTCCGTAGTGGCTTATATCCGCCGTGGAATCATTGGCCTGAGGGTAGTACAGATTGCCGTTCATAGTTGATGCATCATACATTTCCGGATCTTGCTGTGATGACGAAGTTTGTTGGCCCGATTGGTAAGCAGCCGTAGCAGCGGCTGTGGTAATTTCGTGAGGGCTGCTAGTGGGCACGATCATATACGGATTCGTCAGGGGCATTTGAATCGAAGAGTTGATTTTTGCTGAGCTGTTCATGTTTGAGCTCATAAATCCATACGGTTGAAGTGAGTTCTGTGAACTGAAAGCACCGTCATTTGTGGACCCATATTGTCTGTTTGGGTATGGGAGTTGCCTCTCAGTGGTGGTAGCAACATTGAGAGCAGCTTGTGAAGATGTGGTGGCTGCACTTGCAGTTCCATAGGTTGGGATGCATGTGTTGTTTGGGACACAAAAATTCTTTGATTCCGAGTCAACCATTGAGCGCGCATTGTAACTTTGGTATGCCGAATTATAATTCGCCGCTGCTTCTGAGTCCATATACATTGGCGCCGGAGGGTTTACGCGTGGGCGACCATTGCTCTGTACTGGATAATTAGACACAGAAACGGAATCTTGTGCCGCCACTTGATACGCGGTTGAACATGAAAGATTGAATTCGGCAGGTTCTTCGGTGTAGTTATCATAGGAAGAATTGAGGAATTTCGGTCCTTGGAAGCCATAATTGGAATAACTTGGTCGATAATTTAGACTATCGGGACCCAAGTTAAGGGTCTGTAACGTCTGATAGTAATTGCTGTTGTATGGAGCGTTTGAAGGCATTCGGTACATCGTGCGCAAACTATCATCAAAGCAATCAGCCGGAAGATCCTTTGCTTGTTCTAGTCGCATAGCCGTCACCTGAATTACTCGAGTTAGTATTTATCGTTATGAAAAATGGGCTGGTCGGACGTACTCTCAAGAACTCGCATGGTTCTGAAGAGGACTGTTTGCAGTGGTAACATGGCCTGCCATTGTCTTCGCCGCTGCATCGAATCTTTCGCTTTCGGCATCTTTGACACTACGATAAAGTTTGATCAGTAAATGCACTCAAATCAGTGAAAGGTTCACAGTGCGGTAAACAGAAGTTTGAGTGGCATACTGCTACCTGAATCCTGCGCCTCATTTGATGATGTCCCGGTTCGGCATTTTCTGGTCCACGATCATTGCTTCGTCCATCGCTATACGTCCGAGATGGGTATGAGTGCTCGGAGCGCTCTTGAGCCAGTGGATAGCTTTGACCGCGCGGACCGCATCTACGGAAGGTAGGCAAGGTAGGCTCCTCCTCTGAGAAGTATCCTCGAGTGACCATCTGAACTTGATAAGTAATAGATCGGATGTTATTTAGACCTTCATCGGTGCACTGCCTTGCTTACCTTCAAAATATCTTGGGAAAATTTGAGAATTTGAAAGCAGTTGGGCTCAACTTGTGTACAAAAACAAATGTGTCAAGCTTCAATAGGATCCGAGATGAATCAAGGACCTGGGGTTTATCAAATCCTGGGGCTGTCAGGCGAAAGCAAGCATATTATAATGGGTACAACAGAATTTGTGATGTTTGTCTTTATGAAAGATTTCCTGCATACTAGTACTGCTAAACTTGAGATATGATTAAAATAAACAGAATAAATGATTTAGCTTTGTGGCCCCTTTGCGGGCTCATGCATCAGCTATGTAATTTGGAAGATCGACAAATACTTCCGGCACTTAAGCAAACAGCATAAATTCTGGGGTATAAATTCCAGCTTCCTGGTTAGCTTTCAGGGTTAAAATTCCTCAGAGCTTACAGTGGTGGATGCAAATATTCAATTTATGATGAGACTGTCTCGATAACTGAAACAATTTCACCGTCGAACAAAGAACTCATGAGCCTCAGTAAGCTCATCTTACCTCTCCTTTTTAGGTAGCATATAAATTTGGAAATTCATGTAGCTTTCCGTATTGGCCCCCATATATGTTTTTTTTGACACCTACCAGGCTAGGAGCAACTTTACTCCTTCTAGACAGAGCTACATATCATTGTGAATGACAGATAACGACAATTGCGCCTGGTAGCATTGCAATGAATTCAGCAAACAATTGAATAAAGATACGAATTATGGAACAATTATGAACCTGCAAACGATGTATCACCGCTGGTGCATGTCATACTCTGCTCCTCAAATCTTGCGCTACTTCGCTCCTCAATTCGTTACAGGTAGAAGAGTCAATACGCACCAAGATTTTCAATACGGGGTATGTAACGCATATTTTGATGCAGGAGAGCAAGGTCTATTCAAGTCCATATCAAAACCTTGGAGTCTAGCACCATTCCAGCACCATTTAACTGAACGCGCCACTATCAGAGAAGAACCTCAAACCCTTTCAGATTTTAGCTCTGATTTACACGATCATTCAATCACATTGAATCAAATTTTGCTCCTTCCAATAGAATTAGAGCAAACAAACCCATCTTAACGAATTTTCACTCCTACCTAGTTTGT